GAAGCTAAATTTAATCTTAATTTGATAGCGAATTTTTGACACGATGAGATAACATCTATAAATTCCAAAAATGAGCTTAAAAAAAATCACAAGAAGAATGGGAACGTAAAAGCGAAAGGTCATGCTACAAACTATCAAGTTGATTTGTATTGTTATCTACAATTTCCTAATGTTTTTTTAACACTAGGTTTACGGATTCCATATATTTTTATCGAAACTCATCACGTTGACGATTACATCAAAGTTTTTCTTTTAATTAAGATGTATATTCGTATTATTACAGCAATCTAATTCAACGTAAGTTGCTAACCAATAATATTTATTTGTTCTGTAACAGTATAGAACCTGAAACTCGTCAAATTGACGCATATCCGTAAATCTAATGTTAAATGTGTCCAAATATTTTTGAAACCCCATAATGACACCTTTTCAGTTATTCTCGATTAGAATATTTTATAATTCTAATAAACGAGTTACTGCATGGAAAAGGAATATATTTTCTGCATAAACAATTGAGAAATAAATCAACGTATACTTTAGTGTTGGAATATTTTTGTAACTGCAGGATCCGTAGATCAAGATCGGCTCGATATTCTCCCGAAACCGTTCGACGCGACAAGAGATTAGAAAAGGATGGCCGACGACGAGCAGGGTTCCGGCGGTTCTCGTGACAAAAGTACAACAACGACCGGTTGGAGGACAGAGAGGGTGGCCGGTACACGTAGCCAGCGTAGAATAATGTGGCGAGGCATTTCCGCATAGGAAGCCGTGCATTAGGCTATCAGATCGAGCACGCTCGACGACTGTCGGAGAACCAGGAGGAAAAAGTGTCCGGGGTAAACCCTTACGTGATTAGCCGTCAAAGGAGAAGGTCCGTAGGGTGAAAGTGTGCCTAATGAGCCGCGAGATTGGCACCTTCGTGTCGTCCTTTAATCGCCATTTTACGGGAAACTTGTACGAAACTGATATGCAAGGATTATCAAGAGGAAAGTTTCAATTTCTCCCTTTCACGATCGTTAGGGTGGTCGCCGGGGTAGACGTGGAAATTATTTATGGACACCGGCGGCTAGAAACATTGAGATTATAAGCGGCACGGTTCGAAGGGAGATCACTTCCCCCCCTCTACCGCCCCCCCCCCTTTAGCGGTTAATTCTTCACGAACCGCAACAGTTTATCCGTTGCGAACAAACCCGCTCCGAATGTGTTAATTTTATCACGGGCACGGGGGTTGACTGCACGAAGAGTGGGCAGCGTCGATAGCTTCCTTTCGAATCGCGATCGATTTGCACCTGGGTCGCCGCGAGAGGGTGGAAAGAGTTTGGAAAAAGATCGATCGGACGTTCGTTCCGAAAACTCGATTTCCTTTGACTCCGGGGGCCGAGCGTCCTTGGAGGAAATTCGAGGGACACGAACGCGGGGAACGCGCGAGGGGTGGGCGGGGGCAGGGTTCTGCCGCTTACGGTTTCAATCGTCGTTGAAAGAGACTCCGGAGAGAACCCTCGTCGTGTTTCGTTGGTTTCTCGTTTGGTCTCGTCATCGGGAGCAACGGCTACACGAGACGGAGGAGAAGGAACAGAGAAGAATGGGGGTGGGCAGCTCCGAAGGAGAGAGACCGAAGACCCCTCCGGCCGACACGACAAAATGTAGCGAAATATATTCAGCCGGTAATTAGCTTTGTGCTTAACGACGGAAGCCGGCCTCCGATGCAATTTTTGCTGGACATTTGAGAACTTTTGCTAACACGCCACGCGGCCGCTTCTAACCGATTCTCTTTCTCGCTGCCTACGATGGAATTGTTCCGAGAGAACGAAACAGGGCCAGGGGGGACGAGGTCGAAGGGCAAAGCACGAAGGGACAACTTGCCCGCAACTGATCCGCGTACCTTTTGCCTCTTCAGTCGCCGCGTACACGTCCCTGATTTCTTTTCTTTTTTTTCATTTAATGCTACCGTACATTTTCATCTTCGTTGCCTACTGGCCTCGCCCGTAAGGCACAACCGCGATTCGAAACCGAATCCGAGACGTTTCGCGAGCCTGATCTGGTTCCATTATATATCGCGGATAAAATTTCGACGAAGTTTTCGTTCATTTTCGCGGCAGAATTTTAAGTGTGCCCCTTCCTCATTTTCACGGCAGTGGGGGGAGGGAACGTTTTTAATGGACCTTTCTCTGCGTTAATTAAATTCTGCGGCTTGCCTCCCTGGGTCGCTCGAGTGCTTCGAATATTTCGTACGAGATCGCCGATACGATTCCCCGTGATGGACATATTGAAAATCGATGATAAAATTGAGTGCGGGATTTCGGGGTGTCAACTTGGTGAAAAATTTCGATGCTTCTAATGTATACGCTTGTAAACGTGCATCGGTCAAGCTACATTCAGCGGCGTCGAGATTTACTCTAGAAAAACTGACGGTTGGAAGGAAAAGGGGTAGTCGTCGAAACCACCGGTTAAAGAATTTTAAAATATACTATTTCCACTGTTTAAAACGTTTTTAATCTATTTTGGGCGGATGAAACTTATTCGTAGAAATGTAGAGGATAACGAATGTCAATGCCTTATAACTGGACTGCAAATGTTCGCATGTATTGCTCGATAAAACAAATTCATGCGATATACTCGTAATTAAAGAATAAAAAATAGCAAAATAAAAATTTGCATATTTTTTACCTATACCTTTCCTAACTATTATTTAGTTTTCTTTCAGTTGTCTTTGTTTAACGAAAGCTCGTTTCGTTGGAATATATTATATTATAAACAAATTTTCCCTGTACATATATGTAAACCGCCGGTCGACTTTAATTGCAAGATATTCTTAAATGAAAAATACATGATTGGGTAAATTTATCGATGAGCTACCGTCTCAGATTTTGATGATTTTTATATATGCTATAAATAGACTGTGGATCTTTATGTAAATTCATATTTTTATGAATAGAATGATTTAAATGGTAGTAGAGTATCTTACTTTAAGTGTTTCTTATATTTTTGCATATTAAGTGTATTCAGTAGTTTTTTGAAAATTAAAATTCCCCATATATGCATAAACATCTGCAGTTTACTATAAAATGAAAACTGTTTTTTTTTAATTTACCAACGAATGCTCAAATTTGACTAAATTACAAGATCGTATTTTTCACTTCCGAAAGAGGAAGACCCGACAAACGTGTAACTAAAAGCGACACGTGGAAGAATAAAATGTGTTTTATCGAACGAAATGTAATTCTACGCTAATCGCGGAAAGCACATATAGTGGAATAGTATGGGATAAGTGCGTTATATCAGATATATCAAATTCTGATTAGATTAAAACGAACGATTACGAGAACATTGTTTTAATTTTATAGAATATCAGTTTACAGAATTTATTTGATATAAAAACAAGGCGTTGATAAAGTAAAAGTTACTGACGAAACTCATTTCTTGCCCATAGTATGTATTATGAAACTAACATTACTCGTACTTATATTTAAAATGGTACAAATTTATGATTAGAATGCCAATGTAGTAGTTACTCAGAGAATCATTAATCATTACCAAAGACGTACAAAATTAAAACAATTTTCAGTAATATATAAGAATAATTTGTCATTGCAGGTTATTCGATAAAATTTAATCTTTTAAAATATTCTGCATGCTATTCTATCGGATTAAGTATCGCAATGTCTACCATTTTGATCGACCTTAACGGAACAGAAAACTTGAAACTCTTGCCTGTGAAATAAAAACTACAAACTGTTGAAATACTATACCTAGGAATACTGTTCGATAAAAAGAACTGTAACTGTACAATAAAAAATAAAAATATAACGGTATTGCATGTATTACGTAGAAACGAATCATGTTAGAGAACTCGTTCACACCCAACAAATACGGCCAATATAATAAATTATCACTAAGCTTAACGATGAAAGAAACTATTATTTTCTGCAGGTCGTTTAGATAATATATGTACGCTCGAGCAACCTTGGACTCTGATGGCGCGTGGCTGCGTCTTTCTCGAATTAATAATCGCGAGTGTGCATAGTCGAACAAGAATCGAAAAGAATTTGAACGGTACATTGTCGAGACTTCCTCTGGCCCGTGATTAATTAACTTTAACGTAAATTTTACCGCACGAATAAATGACTAAGGAGGGAGCAACCCATCGCAACAATGGAGTCGTCGACGCGGTAAATGTCGGAGGCACGCGAAAACTTATGGTCTCCAGGAGCATAGGCGTCTCTCGCGATAAGAAAACGGTAATAATGTAGCAGCGTGACCACGTGCGGCCTCTTCGACCGCCTTATATCTCGGATCTGTACTGTACTCAGGCTAATTATAATCAGGCTAATGCCTGCTGGCCGGTATGTGTCGGTACCCACCACCTCCTACGCTCTATACCTGCGGCAATGTAGCCACGTTACTTATCCCCAGCTGAAGAGGGGTAATTAAGATTCGGACACACCCATCGTGACTCTCGTCTCTTGGGCTCTGACCGTTTCTACGTAGGGAGTGGTCGATCCCGTGAAAAGCTCGTTCTCGTTTGCATACACGGGAACGTGATCGCGTACCAGAAACATCTTCCACGATCCTGTTCATTTTTTCGTACACGGGAGACGGACACGGGAAGTCACGTCGGTGAACAGAGGGACCGTTGTCAACCAGGAGGAACCCTACGACTCCTGGGATCTACGAGTTCGAACACGAGATTTCTCGTACCGACGATCGTCGCGTCTGTTCTTAAACCTTACGCGAACGTGTTCCAGTCGAACGTTATGCAAATCACCGTGTACCCGTAACCGGTGACAACTTTTTTCCTCGAGAGTTACAGTCGTCGAACAAATAACGAGCATGCACGAGTCGACGAAGAAGACCAAGGGCTATTTCGCTCGGTAACTAATTAAATTTTATCAAACAAATTTTCGATAATGGCAATTCGTTGTAAGTGTACGTTATCAGAATTTCGAAACAGCCCTCCGTCGACTTCCACAATCATAAATATTTGATATTGTTCTACTCACCGGAAATTGGAGAACCACTTGACCAGCTGCGCTGTGTTGTTCTTATTGAACTTGATGTCGGGAAAATACATCTTGAGGATGGACGAGGACGGGTACCTGACCCAGAAGAACATTAGCTTCGCCTTCCTCAGATGCATTGGCGTCAGCGTCGACGAGTTCACCGCGGTTAAGGAAATACACTTTGCAAATGTCGAATGCATTCGGTGGAAATTTCTGTTTTGGACTTTGGTTATGAAAAAAATTTTGTATGCTGGCCACTTTCGTTACATTCTCGCAAACACCACTCTATCCTTCTATCGATCACGGGTAAGAGCATGGGGCCAGGGTACAAACGGTACCCGGTTGAAGAAGGACGTTCCGTGCGGCGATCTGTTTCTGTATACGCAACTATCTCAAACTTAATCGTGTTTCCTTCGTATCAAATTGGATTAGAAATCGTACAAGCTGTGGATAGATCGCGAGGGTAGTAGGGGTCTAACGTTCTCGGCGAGGTTGACCCACGATTGGCCGTATCCTCAGCGGAAGCCTTACCGACTCCTTATCGGTAATAGGATCTCTTCATGTGGTTTCATCGCATTCTTATTTGGCTAATCCGTGTGTTCAATCTCTTGCGAATCGTCTGTACCTTCGACTGGCTCTTAAGCAACTCGGAACCTTCCCCAAGAACGTAATGTTCCAAGATATAGATATATTACGTTAAAAAATCGTTCGAGAATTTTAAAGACGTCGCGACGAAGACCAACGAGTAATCGCGAAAAGTCTGTAGAACGTTCGCGCGAATCGCGAACACTCGATCCGCGTAAAGCCATCTAATTCCGAGTCAGAGACAGGAAAAACACGAGTCGTTTACAATTTTCACGAACACCTATCGTCATTGGTGTTACTGTCAGCGCGCGCTAACTCTCAGCGCACAAGCGAAGTCGTCGTTCACGAGCGAACGAGTCGACAAGTGTAGTCGTTGGCATCAAACGTGCGCGCACCGTGCGTCGCATTTTGCGTTTGCAGTAACGTCGATGGGCGATAACGAGATGCCAGACTGTAATAAGGGTTATTCCGCCCTGCAGTCACACTTGCATTATCGAGCTGGTCCTTCCTCGTACCCTTATAACGCACCGCCCACACCTACGCGTCTGGTGCTCATTATACCGTGTAAGTGACATACCCCGAACGTTAAAAAAGAAGCAGCGTTTACAAGCGTTTGCGATCGTTAATTGGCGGCGGATTTTCGAAATTTCCCCGAATTCGATGCAATTTTAAAATAAAAACCGACGAAGAATCTAGTTTGATTATAGTTCGATCGAGAGGCTTTCGAGAAATAGATAATCGCGATCTGTTGGCTCGAAGGTACGCACCGAAAGGATCGTTCAGGCTGTCGCACCGTAACCACCCTCGTTTGTTGCGCGCAACAGCCCGATCCCCGTGAACGCAGAACCGGGAAGGAAACTCGGACAGCGTGAAAAGCATATTCGGATACGTCGAAGGCCGGCACGACCAGTGACAGACAAGGGTGAATCCAGAGGAGAATGGTGAACAGCAGGTTGTGCCGCGGCCATGCGCTCGACCTACCCCAAGAGGAGGGAGTGAAAAAATGCGCCATTGATTTTACATCAAAGGCCGGCTAAAAAGGTGGCAAAGAACGCCGCGCTGCCGATCGAACGACCCGAACCGACACACACAGTTGCAGTTCCGACGTTGCATCGTTGCCGCCGCGTTTACACGCCCGTCCCCTCTACCCCGTTCCGCGCGACACACGTCTTTTTTCCCCGGTTGTAAGTCCGATATTTGTTAGCGCTTTCGGCAAGCGAGAAGGCCGCCGCGAGCGAGCGGGCCGGGTCGTGAGTGATAATCGAGCCGCTCAACATTTACGCTGCTCCGTCTTTTCAGGCAATCGTAAAAACGGCGTCTTACATCGTCGGTTTCTTTGTTATTTTCGATCGAAAGGCTGGTCCATCGAGCCAACGCGTAAAACACGGTCCCGATAGGGGTAGCAAAGTATAAATCGACACCGTAGAAACCGGGAGTTCTGTGGGTTCTCATACAGCGAGAGAAGTAGTAGAAGTGGCTTATCTACGATAAGTCGAGGAGACGCTCCTGATAGGAAGTTCACGGACCGCCTCCTCTCTCGTTTCCGCGGTTAAATTCCGAAATTGCGGGACAGATTATTGGCTTGCGAAGTTGGGTGAGACTCGAGGCCGAGGGTGGGCCGAGTAGGCAAAGAACTTTCGACCTCGCGCGTTGTTGCCGGACAAACTCTACTCGTAGGTGCAGCCAACATTAGCCTAACTCCGCGGCAAACTAATCTAACATTCGTCCGAGCTTCCTCCTACCTCCTGCCATTCTCTCGACTTCCTTCTCCTTGTTGGCGAACCGGCTTTTTCTCCTGGAGAACTCGACGCGGTTTTCCGAAGTTTCCCAGCTTCGCGTTCCCTTCCACGGGGGGGAAAAACATTCCTAAGCATCGTCATCAACTCTTCCGCTTTTCTACTGCTTTTTGACGCTCGATCTCGCTCGTCGCTTTATCCAGCTCTTTAGAGACCGCCTAGCCACATACTCTTCCCGATTTAATACCGAAAGTTGGACTGTACTTTCTTTGGAGAACGTCCAGACTCTGTCCTTACGCGATATTGCTCGCGCATCAAAGTCGACCAGACATCACGCTTGTGTTGTTTTTCTAACAATTTCTACTAAATCGACGTTACTGTTACTATTGTTCTGGACGTTCACCAAATCTCCGAACGACATACTCTTATCTTATCGACGTAGCATTAAAAAAGGATATTGTAGGCTGAACTCCGTCGTAGCTGATTTCACCAGTGTTACAATCACTGGCCCGATCGTTGCTGTCCATCCTGAGGTGTCCATAGTCTGGACTACCATGCTGGGCAGCCGCCAATAAGGCAGGATGCAATATAGCCGGCGGATGGGGCAATGGAGGGGAATCCCTGAGGTCTACACCTCCACCTGGAGAACTTGCAGGTAGGTGATGTGGCCCCGGGGGTGGTACCTGACCAGGATGACTCGTGTGAGGGTTGTAGAACGGTGAGTACGGTGAGAACACTTGACTCTCGTGAAGACTTGGGTTTGGTATTGCTACGCTGGTTGGCAGAGACACTGGCAGCATCGGTGGTGGCGCGTGGTAGGGTCGCGGTGGTGGTGGGGGCGGTGGACTCTCATTGCCTCCTTGCGAACCGCCACCCTCCTGCGCCAGGATTCTGGACACCGTCCTCGGCGTGATCCTCGTGTCCGTCACCTGTGAAGGAAAATACTAATTGATTTCTTGATTTACGATCGTGAAATTCAGACTTATGTATATGTACAGTCAGTCACAAAAATCTACATTCATCGAGTATAGAAGCGATAAATGTACATTTTGAATTTATTTATACGTGTAACAAAGAACAAAGTATTATAACACACAGAGAGGAATAAGTTTTACGAATTGTATTTCCTATTTTTAACGTTTTCTTTTGAACGAATTATACGTAAATATTATTATATTTTCAAAATATCTCTTATCCGATAAAACGTGTATTGTCGAAACTCTAATATTTTCTATAAAACTAGAATTTTATAGTATGTATATTTTTGCGACTGGCTGTTTGCTTATAGATAAGTATTTAACACTAAATATTTAATTTTACAGATAAATATTAGAGAGAAACAGAATCGAACGTTACGTAAAATTATTAAACAGAGTAAGGATCAAAGCACTGAACGTTTAACGACACTAGGAACAATTTTCTCGTACTTTACAAACAAATATCTACGAATTGTTTTTTATAGGATAGAAACGAGATAATTACCTTATGACGTTTTTTCTTCGGTGTCATGACGAGCGAGAGGGCCTCGTTCTGTTCTGAATCCCTGACTTCTCTCTCGTCGCCCCTCATGTTACAGTATTGGTCGCGTTGCTGCTGTTCTCTCTGCTGGTGGTCGCGTTGCTGTTGGTGCTGTTGTTGCTGTTGTTGTTGCTGCGCCTGCATGGAGGCCATAGCGTATATCGTCGGCGGTTTCGGGGTCTGAAAGATTCCTGTGCTAGACGACCTCACGTGTGGGGGCAGTTGGTTCATTTGATTAAGGTTGTTTTCCGTGGGGCCAGAATGAGGTCCATGGGGGCCACCACCCATGGGGCCGATTTGAGGGAAACCCGTAGACTGTGGAGGAGGGGGCCCGCCATTGTGGGGCCCCCGTGGCCCGTTTGGGCCACCGGGTGGTTGTGGTGCTCCTCTATCAACTACTTTCGTCCTAGGTGACTTTCTTTCGAGTATTTGGCTCGCCAACAGGAGATCCTTGTTTAGTTGTTCGGCGGCAACTTGCGCCGCCTCGCTTTGTTTACCAACAAACCTCCTCTGTTGCACGAACCTTGTCACTATACTGTCGATTAGATTCGTCAAAGACGAAGTGATCTCCATCTTTAGCATATCCGCCAGGCCTTCGAGGTCCGCACCAGTGATATGAGGACCCGATGAGCCAACTGCTGCAGCGGCTCTAAAAACATTTAACCTCTCTTGGAAGTCTTTATGCTGAAGAGGCGTACTCGCTGGTTGCATTTGTGGCGTTTGCGGCGTGGACGGGCCGGTATTGCTTTGACTCTGTTGCTGTGTTTGACTCGTAGGGGGTGGTGGAGAACTTTGTCGTTGATGTTGATGTTGCTGTTGATGCTGCTGTTGTTGCTGTTGCTGTTGCCTCGCTGCAGCCTCCTGATGTTGCTTCATTCTCTCCAAAGCAGCGTGTTGCTGTTCGAGGTAGGCTTTGTGTCCTATATGATATATAGCTGCCGTGGCGTGCGTATGTTCAGGTGGAATGGCTGGGAGGCCGTTGTACTGTGGTGGATGAGGTCGCGGTGGTCTGGGTGGTGGTGGTTGAGGTTGATGCTGAGGACTGGCGGGCGCATCACCGCTCTCGCTCGTGTCCGGTTCCATTCTGCTCGAAAGCTCCATGTACTTTTGTTGCATTACCGCCAACTGTTCGTGCAGCAACTTTAGCTGACTTTTTAGATTATCCTTCTCCTCGCGTTTTTGCCTAATCGTCGAAGGATCTTCCTCCTCCTCGCTCTCCTCCTCGTCGTCCATCATCGTGTCGCTGACACTGTGCTGGAGAACGTGATGCACGGTCTGTTGCTGGGGTTGGTAGAGTTTACGTTTTTTACAACCGTTCACCGTAGTAGTTTGAAGGGCAGGACTGCTGCGCATCGTGCTGACAATATTCTCAACGCGAGCACGTTTTATTTCTGTCGTTGGGGAGCTGGTCTCGGTTTTCGGTACGATCGGACAAGGAGAGTTACTAGGGCTGCGTTTAATATTCAACGAGTCCTGTATTTCCTCCTTGACGGAAACGGACCCTGACCTTGGTTGCGTGGGACTGGGCGGCAAACTCTGTTCGCAGTCCGAACCATCCAAATTGGCCCCAGGCTCCATACCAGCTTCGGCAAAGGCCTCCTCCATAGCACGTGCGGCTGCGGCTGCGTCCTCAGCGCTATCCTCAGCATCGCCCGGCATCACGGTATCACGTTCACTGTGATTCGCGTTATTCACGACGTTATTCCCGTCACCACTGTCCTCTCCGCCACTCTGCACTGTTCCACTACGCGCACTATCACTATTTTGTTGCTGATGCTGCTGTGGACTCTGTTGATGCTGCTGCTGAGATTTAAGTAGATCCGCTGTGGTGTTGTTGTTGTTGCTGTGTATACTGTTATTGTTGTTCGGCTGTTCTTGAGCCGAGAGCGCGGACAATTTGCGCCCTTGAAGTATGTCGCGAAGCATGTGCTGCGTGAGCTCGGCGGTAGCGGGATCGTCACAATTAACACCCGATTGCAAATTCGCGGCAGAATCCATGCCGGCGCCAGTCATCCCATGGCCGCCCTCTGGCGGTGAGCCACCGGCGTCACTGGCCTGTTTGACCTGTCGTCCAAGCAGCTCGTTCAACATCTTGGCGGGGCCGTAACCCGGTGCCCCGAAGAACCCGAAAGCCGCGTGGGCGGAATGCTGCTGTGCGGTGGGACCCGTCGTAGCTGTTCCTAAATGACCTTGACTTCCTGCTGCCCCAGCTTGTTGTTGCTGGAGCTGTTGTTGTTGCGATTGCGATTGGTGATGTTGCGACGGTTGTTGTTGCTGCGGAAGCGTTTGTCCGGTGCCACCGAAGATCGAACCGTACAAACCACCGCCGTGGAAGGATGGCCGGGAGGTGAAGTGCGGTATACTCGAGTAGTTGTTGCGCGGCTCGCCGGCGTCCACGCGCTGTCTGGTGCGCTTCTGCTTCTTCTGGAGTTGCTGTTGCTTGCTTTCCGTGGTTGCTCCGTAGGGGGCGAAATACTCGGTCTCCTCCCCCGATGACATCATCGGCCGTCTGGTTGGTCGGCCCCCCGAAGGCCTCCGCGTCCCCTCCCCGCCAGGGTTCCTTGTCACCCCTCCCCTTCGCGCTCGAATAGCCCCTCGTGGCTCAGCGCGCTGCCGCTGCTTCTATACTCTGTACTTACTCTCGCCGTTTCCCCTACCACGGCCGCCTTTCCTCCTCGTTCCTTCTACCTTGTCGTCCCCACTCTGATCGTCAACACTCGCCCCTCTCCACTTTCTTCGTCTTCGGCGTCTCCTTCTCTTTCTCCTTCTCCTGCGTCGCCTCCTCCTCCTCCTCCTCCACCTCCTCCTCCTCCTCCGCCGCCGCTGCTGCCGCCGCCGCCTCTTCTTTCTCCTCTTCTTCCTCCTCCTCCTCCTCCGCCTCCTCCTCCTCCTCCGCCGCCGCCGCCGCCGACGACGACGTCGGCAGCCTTCTCCTTCCCGTCGACCGCCTGCTTCCTCCTCTTCTCCTCCTTCTCCTTCTCTCGCGCCTCCTCTGCCACTTCTTCCGTCGTTCTTCGGTTTTTCTGCACCTTCTTTTCACTATTCCGCGCCCCGCTCCTTCCGTCGTGGAGCTGATGCCAACAGCTGGGGCTTCTCGGTGACTCGGTGTCGGCGGTTCGTCTTCGTCTCGGGACGACGATTTCTCTTCTCGAGTCGCGGCTCGTTGTCAGGACTGTTTCCGTTACTTCCGTTTTTCCTTACGTTTCTACTACGATGACAATTCAAGCCGGCACCGCCGCTTCCACTACAGTTTCTACCGTTGTTACGTTTCTTCGCGACAGTGGATGCGATATTACTCCCGTTGATGATCACGAGAAGCGAAACCGGTGCTTTTGCGGGCGGAATCCTCGTGCTCCCGCCTGGGAGCTGCATCCTTCGAGCTCACCAAAGGGCTGGGTGCCCCTCGCTCCCTCGTCTCGATTTTCGTTGGCGCGATTCTTCTTATTCGTCTGAAACAGAAATATCGTCGAACGCCTTTTAGTTCGCATTCGGATACGGCTAGCCTGTGCGCGCGGTCAATGAAAGGAGATCGATATTAGACGTAAAGGTGAACCGTGAACCGTATTTTATTTTAGACGCGTTCTCTATATAGACCCTCGTCCACTTCCGCAGATAGAAACGTCTGACTGATACGTCTGTATACGACTGTCGTTGACTTCTCTACTACACATAACTCTACTCTAGCTAATTTACTTACTTACGCTATGAACAGGGTTTCCTTTAATATCGAGCTTTAATGTATTTCGTACCAGCCTCTAGAAATGGAAACCTTCTATACTGGGATTTGCAATTAACCTGTCTAATGTTACCTCTCATTTTTTACTCTTTTCACCTTAGCTTCTATAAGAAGACTTTTAGCTGAAACGATTAATTCGAAAATTTGTTCTTTTTCCCCTTTTCGTCTCGTTGCAAGAGGAAAATATGTTTCGTTTATTTCTCGATCCCTTAAACTATCCCTCTTAGCTATCTCATAGAAATAACAAATTTCTTCCATCAGTATAGCCACGTAAAAGCGGGGAAAACGTATCCGGTTCGTCGCACGATCCGCGTCACGTAATATCAGGAAATGGAGATTCCGAATGTTATCGGTTAAAAATACACGACGACGGGACTGGCGATCGTTCTCCCGCGACGCGAACAATGTGTTTTAACTCCGTCCGGATGTCTTGGTCGAGAATTTAAGCGAAAACTGAATGTACGGCGAACACCGACGATGAGATTGTTCGAAGAAGAGGGTGGTCTGTCGCAGAGGAGAGACCATAAGAAAATTACTTGCGTTGAATTTCTTATTCGGAGCGTAGGCAGTTCCGCCAAGTCGACTCGTCAGGGATTACGCGATGTCGTTGATCGATAGTCGGAGAAGGAAAGGGGCAGAAAAAAGTAATTGATAGCAAATCCTCGGTCATAGACCAGCACACACCATCTGGCCTGGTCAAACTCAGAGGGTAGAATAGTCTACGTTCGCTATGTTCTTCGATCGAAGTCTGCTAATTCGATCCTTAACAGGGGCGTTAGTGGCTCATAAATGATGGAGGAATTTCATGAAAAATTCAACGTTAACCGGGAGGCGATAATTTCATCGTATCGTCTTTGTATCCTGATAATTAATAGCGAAGTCTTGTCGGACGTTGTTTCTCACGAGCAAGTTTCGCGATGGGTCATAATCGGGAGCCGTTCAACAAATTCATTCACCGACGACAGGGCTCGATCGTTTCACGATTCAATTGCCGATACGCATAAGTGCGTGGGTACACGCGAGTCGGCCTTCTGCATTTGCACGCACGCAGTTTGATACGCCGTTGCTTAGTGTGCACCAATATCACCGTGATATATGTTCGCGTGAATGTGCATGAGATTCGAAGCAACAGCTGAGCAGCTTAAAGCACCTGCGCTCAATAGGCCGACATATTCCATAGTTTGCCTACGCACGAGCCGCCTGCGTTCGAGGACACGAGTACTCGTCCCTATGTATCGACAGAGCGACTAGACGTATGTATACGCGCAGCTCATGAAGCAACAAGGAGGCTCAAAGAGAAATGCGTATATAGCAACACGTGGCGAAACCGGCGAATTGGTGGAAGCACGAAATCGTTGTACTTTTTTTCCTCGAGCCGCGCGCTGCTTTCAGCCTCGCTGTTCTCCCGTTTGCGCGATCGCGCAAGGAAAAGGGAGAAACGAGCTTAACATTCATCGATCGTTCTCTCGTTCATGGACGATGCATCTAATTGAATATCGATTAATCTTTTTATTTGTTTCGCCGAAACGGGAGGACGCGAACGATTCGATCCGTAGATATAATACCGGGAGCATTCTATCGATGATGATTCGTACACGAAAAATTTTGTAATTGTTAATAAAGCTTTTAAACGCCCCTTTTCACGAATATATTAATATTTCTCGAATACAGTTTCTCAATTACAAATACGAGTGAAATCAGTCAACTAGTTATATTATTTTTTTCTATTTGAATTGCGCGCCACTGTATCATCGTACACGTTTCGCCCCATTTATTCCAGTAAAATGTTTTTCTTGTCTCGTCCTGATTATCGTTCGATTTGAATAAGCTTTCGCGTTTTCGAACGCTTTCCCGAACGGAAAGATTTCGTTTCGAGATACTGCTCCCCAGCAATTATCTTAGGCAACGGAGGGGAGGGTGTGCTCGTTGGGTGAAAAAGGTGACATATGGTCGAAGGTTCGATAAAGTCTGCGATCGTACCTGCCTCGAAGAACGTAACTCTTCGAGGGGGGTAGGGAACTTCTGTCCTTCCTACTTTTGATCGGTACTTCCCTTCTGCGCTGCCATGCGTGGGACGGGGGGAACAAAAAGGGTGCCCCGCCGGAAATGGTTTTAGGAACTCTCCCACTGTTGCCGCGACTCGGAAGTAGGCACGCCGTGCTAATTACACGCGAAAAACGTATTCGAGGTAGTCCCGTGGCCACGTTGTCGATACCTGCCAAGCAGATGCGTCACTCGATTCATTACAACGAAGCCGACTTTTCGTTGAAACTTATTTCGAGAAATTTGTTTCGAACCCCCGTATATTATGCAGGTTTTCTACGATGAAAACTTCGTGTATTCGTTTCCTTTATACGTGTATTAAGTAAATTCGTTAAACTGTGAATTTTTGTGAATGGCATTTTAATACGTTTGATACCACAAATACCACTAAATTAATTAATTCGAAATAAATGTTCGATATTTATCCCAACTACCGAATCTGAAAAGCAAAATTGATTACCTAATATGCATTATCTTTAAGTTCGTCAACGAAGATATTCACAAAATGGAGGGTATTCTCTCTCGAAGAAAAGTAGACACGTTAATGAGTTTCGATACCAAGAGTCGACAGGAATGTAAGATTCCTATTTAAAAATACGTTCGTTGCGTAATAATAATAATAGTAGGGGGTCTGTTTGGCGTTACTGGACACACATATTTCGACGTGTAATGACACCGGGATCGATCACTTTAGTGCGAAGCGAAAACAGTCTGATGAACGGCCAACAACCATTTCCTGTGCGTCATGCGATATTTGCCGTTTAAGCAGGTGACTTGATTTGAAGGGGTGATTACAAGTCATGCCGGGTGGGGTTGCTATACGAGATTAGAAAATCGCTGGTTGAAACCAACTTGTCGGACGTTACGTGTCCAATCCCATCGTAAGATTTCTGTAGAATTGAACACGGTCGAAGAAACGTCGAATAAAGGGAAAATGGGGGTGTACGCTTTAAAAATTAACTGTCGATTACGAGCAGAAGTTTACGGAAGGCTGATTCATAATTTCGTCGACTTTTTCCCCGAAGACTTCGATCGTTAAGGGGTTAGGATCTATGGTAGCCATTGTTTCGAGCTATCGACGCTGATAACTCCCACCTATAGGTCGGGGTAATTAAGGAGGAGACCTGAACGCAGAAGAGCTCCGGGCGAGGAGAGCATTCGTTATTCTCTTAGCATCGATCACGCGGTTTCCATCGGTGGATCGACCTTGTATGAGATTTCTAAGGGGAAACTTGGGATCGAAATTTTTTAATGAATCCGCGAGCGAAGAGAAAGAAACTCCTATACTCCTTGGCCATTCCCGTTCCGTTCCCTTTGATAGATTCGCTATCCCTTCCGCGGACGGAGATTTATAAAAATAGAACGCATAAAAATCGATGTAAAAGGGATATAATTACGGATCGGCGAGGTCTATAGCCGTGGAAACTTTCTTATTGCCCTCGTAGGAGAAGTCTCGGTACGCGAAATTCTTCGGTTAATTTTTAGACTGGCTGAATCGATAGGGGAAAAGAACGCGTGTTGCGATCTTGGTGGATGGTTCGTGCGATATCGAAGCTTCCGATCGACGAGGTAGGAAGGAGTACCGGGTGGAACCCGCAGCGAAAACGAAACAATACTTATACGTAGTGACCCTAACGACTTCCTTCCGGCGACGAACGCAAGTAGTACAAGTAGCTGGCGTGTTTCTATTCGGTGAATATCATGGTGCACGTACCCCACATGGCGTAATCGTGGTAACGCCGCGACGGCATGTGCATTGGAATTCCACCCCCTGTAGGTGTCATGTGGCGAGAGTGTTCGCAGGGGGTTGCATGGGAACCCGGGTATGGTCATCAGCCCATGTCCGTCGTGTAGGCACGCTGCGATCCGCACGCATAGCTATGAGCCGCGTTCCCCTCGATATAAAATTATTGTAACATTCGTTTCATTATTATCCGCAGACTGACCGAGCACCCTCCAGTGACACGCATCCGCAAACAGGTAAACACACCCCCGTTTCGTGACGCCTAATCGTGAATGTATATACACGCACACCGGCAGACGGAAACAGGGCGAGTCTGCGTTGTATATACACAATGATAGACCCATACAAAGGCAGAGGCACGGCGACTCGTGTGCATACACACACGGCTCACACGCGTTCTGCATATTATCGGGCTGCTCCGATGCAACAAGTTGACCGGGTGTCAATTGATGTGTTATTAATTGGAGGTTAATTGCGTTAATGCGCTGTCGACCCCGTCTCCCGCGCCACCCGTCGGCAACCACCCCCGCGGCACCACCAACACCACCACCACCACCCCCCCCCCGCCACACACCGACCGACTGTTTTATTATTATTTTGCATTCGAATCGTTTCGATTCACTGGCACGCGCCCAAACCAAACTTCGCGAGCGCAAGAGAACCAGAGAGAGGGAGGGAGTTCGAAAACATAGAGGAGAGCAACGTGTACGTACGAGAGAAAGAGAGGGGGGATCATTTAAAAGCGGCGGCCTGTCACCGATTTTCATAATTTACAGCTCGTTAAATTTGTTTCGCTTTTTACCTCGCTTTCCACGATTACGCCACCCAGGGCCATTAATCTACCTTCGGTTCGTTTTCAATGAGTTTAATCGTGTTTCAAAAACAATGTGGGTCAACGCCACGGCCGTGTTATTCCTGGCACGCGA